CATGCATGCATACATACATACATACATACATACATACATACATACATACATACATACATACATACATACATACATACATACATACATACATACATACATACATACATACATACATACGTGGAGTAGAAAATTGAGGAGCTTGACTCACCTGTGCATATACCAGTATAGAAGCGTGCAAACATGGTATATTCATAGGCATGGATCACACCAGAGATCCCCATAAGAACAGATGAGATCAGGGACAAAAATCCAGTTACAATCAAGGCACCTTTCCTAAAAAGACAGAGATATGGGGAAGTGGAGGTGCAGGGAGGCCAATTAATATCAGGTATCATCCAAAGAACAGAGGATGGGGAGAAGCTATGGAATTGCAATAGGCTTCACATTTTTCTATCATTTTTTCCCCTTGGGTTGCTAGTTGTGGGAGGGGAACAAGGCAAGGAAGCTCCGAGGTCCAAATACAAACACTATTCAAGGATTTTCTTTGGATTCTAAGACAAGCCAGTACCCTAAATTTTCATATCAGCCAGAATCATACTTAGTGCAGTTCTTTTTATATAAGATGCTGCATGTTGGATCTAGGATTTTCTGCTCATAACTATGTGATCTGCCACTGAGCCGCAGCACTTTCCAAATGGTATATGAGGAAAACAGTACAGAATCAGTTCAAGCCACACCAGCTGGGAGGACTGAGTTTCCTATTCACAGCTTCTTTACCTTTAAAATTTTAATAGGTGATGGAAGAGCATCACTTTTGAAGTGTAGGATTTTAGGAACCCAACTAGACTAGACCATGGAGACAGGAGGTTGTGGTGTCCTTCCAAATCAAATCCCTCTACTCAGAATAACCAGTAAAATGATGTCGCAGAACATCACCCCATTTGTTTTTACCCAAATCACTTCCAACTGGTTGACCACTGTTACCCAAGAGAGGGAAAACAGAAGAAGATGACACTGCATTAAAAATACAATGGTACTATGAGGCACAGTGGGTCCTGCCTGCCTGCCACCCTGTTGTCCCAGCTTTATGTCCTAGGACACAGAGTTCTCCATCAGGGTTGGCCCAAGAGATTTGGCTCCCAGAGGTGAAGAACAAGAGGACACCTCTCCCATTCCATATGCACAAACTGACAAGGTGAGCAGAAGAATCTCGACTAATGGATGGTGTCCTTCCCTGCACTTCAAAGCAACAGACTGCCTTGGGCACTCATGCCTCGGCACACATCGCATATGTAGTTCTCTTCTCTTCTCTTCTGGACAACTGTACCTAGCCACCCTTGCCCAGCATCACCCACCAAAGTGGTTGCCTCTTTCTAGTTCAAGGCAAGGTCACCCCCTGTTAACATTGTGAATGGTGATCTTTATACCTGCCAAATGTATCCACTAAATAGCCAACCGTCAGTGTCCCACATATGCCTCCAAGAGGGAATAAAGCGAAGGTGATACCCATCAGGAGCATATGGTTTTCATTTTGCTTCATTTCTTCTAATTGTGATACGTTATAGAAGTCTTGCATGAGCTGGAAAAGGAGCACACAAGGGCTGGTGTTAGGACTTCTCTACACATCACATGGTAGCAATATATATATTGCAGACAACCAAGAGTGCTACCAATCTGTTTTCTACTTCAGACCCTTTCATTGGAAGAAAGGCAGGGTGTAAATAATGAATGATACTCTTACTGTGGATGAATAACATGTGTCATACACAATGGCCCAAATCTTGTTGCTTAGCGTACTAAATATGTGAGACAGGATCCCATTACTATCCCAACAAGATTTTACCCCTCGGCTGAAATTCTGCTGTATAGCTCCATGTGTGCAACACAGATGGTTTCACCATTAGTAAATTGCCTCTGGTTAACCTTTGGGAGGGGGGGTTCATGTGAGAAGAAACCTATCCATTCTGAAGGAAATCAACCCTGAGTGCTCACGGGAAGGACAGATCCTGAAGCTGAGGCTCCAATACTTTGGCCATCTCATGGGAAGAGAAGACTCCCTAGAAAAGACCCTGATGTTGGGAAAGGGTGAAGGCAAGAGGAGAAGGGGATGACCGAGGATGAGATGGCTGGACAGTGTCACTGAAGCGACCAACATGAATTTGACCCAACTCCAGGTGGCAGTGGAAGACAGGACAGCCTGGCGTGCTCTGGTCCATGGAGTCACGAAGAGTCGGACACAACTAAATGACTAAACAACAATAACAACAAAAATATACAATGCAACAAAGGCACAAGCACATGGACCCCAAAATCTCCAAAGGAAGCCTTTAATCTTCTGTGATTGACCAATGCTGATGACATCATCACCAGTGGGCTCATGGAGCTATGCAACAGGATTTCAGTCATTGACTCAGTGGGATTTATGGAAGCATTAACTCACTATTCATCAATTAATTCAAGGCATCTACTCTTGGTGGAGAATGGCCCTCTGTGATGCTGTAATTCAGAACACATCAAAGCTAAATGTGGACATGTATTTATTTATTTATTTATTTATTTATTTATTTATTTATTTATTTATCAGATTTTTACCCCGCCCCTCTAGACAATGTCTACCCTCTAGACATGTTCTCAAAGCTTGGAACCGTTGTGTCTTTGGACATCCCACCAGGATGATCACTATTGGTCTTGCTTGTTGTGGGGTTCTGGGATCTGAAGTCCTCAAAACGAACCCTTTTAAAACCCTGCATGTCTCCAATAACGGAATCTATCAGCTAGGAGACGCTGCCACAACATTCATTGTTTTGCAGATGAAAAAGAGGATGATGAACATTTTAACGGTGACTATTCAAAGATAACCCCATCCAACTTTTTATAAGCCCCCTTATATATCCTGTCTTCTGTTTTCTTTAACTTCCCGGCAATTAGCCATACACAGACATGTGAAACAAAATGTATTAGTAAGTTAATCATAACTAGAGTGAGCACAAATCAGAAAAATGGTGAATCGTTTTGATTTGTGATTCATCAATGTTGACAAATCGCAAATTACAAATTTATGATTTTTTTCTGACAAATCAATGAATTGGTCACTTTATGTTTCACTTTAGAACCTTATAAAATTGCCCCCCCAGGAATCTAGAGCTGCCCCTAGCACTGAGAGACAACAAAGTCACAGAGAAGCTTCTCTTCTAATATCTCTCCTAGTCTGGCAAATATACTGGGTTTCAGACATCCAAGTTATACACCCACAATGTGGGTCCCCCCAGGAAAGCCACCCTTAGCAGCTGGCTTGGAGAAACCTAATCTTCACCAAGCTTGAAGGGATTGTAGAGGAGAGTCAGAGAAAGATTCCCTGCAATATTGGTGTTTCTAGGTGCCTGGGGGACCGTTTTATATCCAAATGAATCAACAAATCACTAAAAAGTCCGTGATTCGTATTCATCACATTGATTTGTATGGATATGTATTGATGAATCAGTGATTTTTGAATGAATTACAAATCACTAAAAAGTCCTTGATTCGTATTCATTGCATTGATTTGTATGGATAGGTATTGACAAATTAGTGATTTTTGAATGAATTTGGTGATTTGTTTTTTAATTCGTTCCCATCACTAATCACAGCTAAAGCTTAGAAGAGTTATTCCTTCAGTCTACTGTCCACGCTCTATGCAGTTTTTAGGGGAGATCTAATCAAAAAGCAAAATTTCCAAGCTCTGACCATTATCTTCACCCCTTTATTTGCAAAATGTAAGAATGGTTAATAAAATGTTTACATCTGAAAAAAAGATGTGGTTTATTAATTACAGACTAACTGCATCCAAAGCAATTTCAGTGCTATTTATGATATGGCTAGGGAGTCATTTACGATCTAACTAAGGAGTGGAGGAGAAGGCATGAGTCTCAGTTGTGTATGCTCATGTCTGTGCATTTACATGCTTGCACACTGTTGTCCATGCATTTGCCTGCACAGGCACATAAGAGTCAGAGTGAATCTTGGCCAGCCTTTTCAGAGATGGCAATCTTCTAGAGTGCAGAAGATGGAACTGAAATCTGAAACACTTTTTGAGTAAATGTCCACCTGCTAATTCCGTGATTCCAAAACCTGAGGCCCAAGACCTTTTTGGACTGCAAACTCCCAGAAATCCCAAACAAGTATATCTAGTGTTCAGGACACCTGGGGATTGTAGTCCATACACATCTGGGGTTCCAAGTTTGGGAACCAGTGCACTAATTTGGATGAAAGCTAAGCATACTTGTATCTCTAATGGCTGTTGCAAAATCCACTGAGATTGCTCTAACACATTCTACATGGGACTGCCTTTGGAGACGATTTGGACAGCTGGTTCAAAATGCCGCTGTCAGAATATTGACTAGGGCCAGTTATGAGGAGCGTATAATTTCCCTGCTACAACAGCTGCTCTAGATACCAATTTGTTTCCAAGCCCAGTTCAAACTGCTGTTTATTGCCTAAATCCTATATGGTATGGGTCAGGTTATGAGACTTCCTGGCCCTTGAAGCCTTCAGAGGAGTCCCTCTCCTCAGTCCCATTCCCATCACGGGACACAAGAGAGGACCTTCCCTGTGTCTCCTTCCAGATAGCAGAATGCTCTCCCTCCAGAGCTTAGGTTATCTTTTATCCTTCCGGGGATAGTTAAAAAAAGAACCACCTTTGCAGGCAGGTTTCTAACAATCATAACAGATGGTTGTTGTGGGTTTTTCTTAACAATCATAACAGAGTCCCCAAATAATGTTTTTTTTTAGCTAAGTGAATTTGGTTTTAAAGTTTGAAATGTTTTAGTCACTAAATTCATTCTTAATTATCATTAGAGTTCAATTCATTTTTAACGTTTAATTTATGGATTTGAGGTTTGTTTGTTTTTTTTAAAAAAATTCTTGTTTTAACCTTGTGACTCCATCTTGGGTCCCCTTGTTAGGAGAAAGGTGGCCTACAGATGCTAGAAAGGAAGTACAAATACAGATAGAACTGGAACATTAATCGTGCCCAAATTATTGCTCAGGTGTAGTGTCCTGGCTGAAGGAAGGAAGGAAGGAAGGAAGGAAGGAAGGAAAAGCAGATATAATAATATAATAATAAACAAAAAGGATAATAATGGCCACTGTCACGATTCCACGTGGCCCCTGATTGTTTCACCAAACTAAAAGCTCATGCTACATGCCCCTCAGCTACTACCAGTTGATTTCATCAACAATACCTATTATGAATGATAGATGTCCAGGCCATATGTCATTTTAAAAGAACCAAATAGAAATTGTATCTTGATACAGATGTTGATAGAACAAGCAATGTTGTTAATTCTTATTCTTCTTTATCCACCCTCAACCACCATTCTCCTGCCCAAACTCCAAAACTCTCTAACACTCTATTCGAGAATACATTAACTCTCTAATTCTCGATCTCACTGGTTCTTAACCTTGGGTTAATCAGGAGTTTTGGACTACAACTCCCAGAAGCCTTCACCACCAACTGTACTGGCTGGGGTTTCTGGGAGTTGCAGTTCAAAAGCATCCGAGTAACAAAGGTTGCTCTCTAATTCTCTATCTCAAAACCCTATCTATGTCTATGTAACCTCCTCCTGCTGCTGCTGAGTCTCTTATACCTCATGACTCCGCCCCTCTAGCACTCCCATTGGTCTATGAAAATAGCATCTGAGTATTCATGACCTGGGCAAACGTCACAGGCACCAAATGTACAGAACATGCCTGGCAGATATGGACAGTCAGAACTGCCAGGAGAACCACTGGTTTAAGGAATTATCCATATTGCAAGACAGTCTTACCACAGAAGGAGAATAGACGACCCAGAGATTGTAACCATGTTGCATAGAGAGGAGAGAGGAAGCCACCGAAACCCGAATTAATGTATTCGTCAGGTTCTATGGGAGAGTAACCAATTGGTGTACAGGTAAACCATTATGTTTATTGTAAGTTTACTAAGGACATCAGTCAAATAACAAACTAAGTAACCATATCATTGTAGCAGGGGTGGCCCTTTTAGTCAGTGCAAAAGTTAGAGATGAAAACAAAATAATTTTTTAAAAAGTAAAGAACAAAAATCAAAAATGTGGTGGCTAAAAGACTAACTTTTATATATATTTTTAATGTCAATTTGTCCACTTCTTCGGACCTAAAAGAAGGAGAGATAACATGTCAAATATTTATACACGGCATCAAAGTATAGATATCAAGAGACAGAGATCATGGTTGGTTGGTGAGAAAGTCAGGGGGGTGTGAATCATGGTGATGAATGTTGATAACCAGGCTTTTAGTAGAAGGTTGTGCTCTCAAGAATGTGAGAACCTCTGTCATAGCTTAACAGTAATGCTAAACTGAAAATGAGTAAAAAAAAAAGTGAGTTCTCCAGGTATTAATTCATAAACTGAAAGGGATGGGAGCACAAGGTGGCAGGAAGAAACACGCAAAGGCCTCGTGACCGAGCAGCACGGTGGGTTGGCTTGTCTGAAGGATCAGCAGCTCACTTCAGAAGCACAAATGGGGTCTATCCAGGAAAGTTTAAACCACATGGTGACCCTCTGCAGCGCCACAACCCCTTTCTCAGTCTACCGATGGGAGTTTTGTTGTTTGCAAGCTTGTGAAATCAGAATCAAATTAATTACTCTAAAATTGGAGAGCCAATGAGGTGTAGTGGAATGAATGCCAGACTAGGGCTCGGGAGATCTGGGTTCAAATTCCTTCTCTACGATGGAAACTCATGTGTGGTGGAAGTGACAATGCTAAACCACTCCTTAAATATCTTGCATACCACGAAGACCTTTCTTAGTGTGTGTCATGTGTTACTGCTTTGACTAGAAGTATTGGCTGAAACACAGTATTGAGTCACAAGGAGAGTAGGCCCATTTGAAACAGTGAGAATTTGGTGAGTCTTCTTAGAATCATCTTAGAGCTGGAAGGGAGCTGGTGGATCACTTGGTCCAGCCCTTCTCAAAGACGCACAGTGGGGAATCAAACTTCCAACCTCTGGCCCTCCTCTGTAAGTTCCATTGATTCAATGAGCCTACTCTAATGTTGACTCACTACTGGCTTTTAGCCAATGTGACATCAGCGTAGATTCAGGCATTATGTGCAGTTGTGAAAAACAATTTAGCACTGTATTATTTTTGTCAATATCTTAAATCCATGCAGTTGAGTAGACCTTCATTCCAAGCTCACCCCTTTCCCTGATCCGGTATCTTCTCCCTTTTCCACTTTTTTCATGCTTCTTTTTGTGTAAGAGTCAGCAGTGAGGTTCACCTGTGAGGAAATAAGGGAGCGATGTCGATAAAGGATCACTGATTCTACTACCTCCCGTAAGAAGCTAAGAATATCTTTCCAGGACCATTGAAATAAAAGGAATCAAGTGGTCGATACAAAATTCAAATACAAACGTAGGCATTTCCAGGGTCAGGCCACCATTTTGTTTCCAGAAGCAGTTGAGCAAATCTCTCCATTCATCAGAGACGGGCAAAACACTCACTCCCGGCATTCCTTGCTACTTAGCTATGCTAGTCAAGATTGATGGTCATTGCAATATAACATCTGGAAGGCCGCATTTTGATTGCCCCTCCTTCCAATAAGACTGCAAGCAGGATATAAAGAGTAAATGTCCTCCTCTATTGTTTGTCTTTCTGCACCTGGTATGCAAAGGTTGACTGCCCTAGCATTTGGAGGTTCTTCTATTTAATCCATACAGTCCATAGCCACTGATTGACATCCTTCTCCACCAGCTGCCCTAAGCCTTAGAACAAACCAGAAAGGGTATTACCATATCTCTTAGACAACTGAACTGCTTTCATTTCTGAAGCTTGTAAAGGGACTTCAGGAAGAGGAACAGAATCTTCCCCAAACAACACATGCAGTGTTCTACACACATAAACACTTGGGAGTGAATACACAAGGAGTAAATAAAACTTACCCTAGCCTTCTGCTCCTAGCAAGTAGGAAAACATTTCACCAAACTCCGTTTCCCCTTGAAATAAAGCCCACAGAACTCTATGGGAACCTTGACAGCCAATCAGGAGAAGGATGTTGGAAGGTTCCAAGAGAAGCTGTTGACAGTTGGGAACCGAGATGATGCACAACCTCTGTCCAGAAAGGAATGCATTCTCACCAGAATTTATGAGAAACCCAAGGATTCTGTACAAGGAAACCATGGCAGTTAAAGGAGCATCCATATGCTGTAACCATAGAGCGTAGACTAAGGGTCAAACTGGACATGCAGAGCAACAAAAACTCCTTGTGAATATTAAATTGTCTAATGTGATCATGGTCAAAATCCTATGGTGCAACTACATGCGCCCAGCTTGAGGTTGTACACATGGTAGATGTACTACAATGAGGCAAAAGCATTGTTCCGGTAGCACATCTGCTGGCATATTGTAAAATAAGTCATATCTGAGACATGCAATTAATTGAGTAACCGCAGAGCACAATTCCTTGACACTGGGCATAATGTCTGTGTCCACAGGATAGTGGCCATTATGATTCTCTGAGAGATAAATGCCCTGGCAGACTTAGTGTTTTTTCCCATGATGTTCCTACAAAACAAAGCTTGCCAAAATGCAAGATGCAGAGTTGGATGCCTCGACGAACAGAGGTCTTTTACCACTTCGGGTGACATGTGGGCAGTAATGATGTGCTAATTACATTTGTGTCATTTTATTTTCACATTTCTGTGGGTTCTGCACATGCCAACCTGGAATGCATCCAAAGTTGCCTCTCCTGCATCCGTGCCAAAGTCACAAAGGATGCTTATGCTCTTTTGTTTAATTGTATATTTGAAAAACACATTGCTCGCAGGGTTGTCACCTGGGTGGATCCTTGCAAGATGGCTGGAGCGGAGTTGGGGGCAGACAATGGAAGGGGCAGAATTGCAAGCACATTGCAGAATAGGATGCACACATTATCTGAATGAGTTGGTCCAGAATCCAAGTAAATGCCAGTTAAGCCATGCAATATGGCAACACCGAGTCAGTGTGGCAGAAATTGCTTCCTCCTCCTCTTCTTCCTCCTCCTTCTGGGCAACTATGGCCAGCAGCTGCAGAGGTTGCCCCCATTCCTGCTACACCCCCCCCAGACCTCTTGCTGCCTTCTCCACAGCAAACCAACAGCCTTTGAGATTAGTTCTTTCCACTCGCCAAACCCAAGCAGGGGAATCTTGCTGCCTTCTCCATAGCAAACCAAAAGCCTTTGAGATTAGTTTTTTTCCACTCACCAAACCCAAGCAGGGGGAAAATTATCCCAATGGCCATCAGACTCACTGACTCCTTGGCAATGAACTGATCTTAGGAGAAGTGAAATGACACAGTGGGTGGGCATGAGATCAAAGACTCCGAGGTGCCCCCTTGCACAGACTCTTGGAAATTTGCCCAAAGGTACTCCAGGGGGCATAGAAATCCACCAGCCTATTTCCTAAAGGATCTGACGTCTGTCTAAGTCAACATTTTTTACAGTAATTCAAGAGACCATATCCAGACTGTTTCTATATTACTGATGGCAGGGAGGGGTAGGGACGGACCCTGAGGAATGTTTCCTTGCCTACTCAGGAAAGTCAATTCAAAAAGCCCCAGCTTTACTGCTTTATAAGCTCTGAAGCTTATTCTTGTTGTTGTTGTTCAGTCGTTAAGTCATCTCCGACTCTTTGTGACCCTATGGACCAGAGCATGCCAGGCCTTCCTGTCGTCCACTGCCTCCCGGAGTTGGGTCAAAGTCATGTTGGTGGCTTCTGTGACACTGTCTTGCTTTCACACTTTCCCAACATCAGGATCTTTTCAGGGAGTCTTCCCTCCTCCTGAGATGGCCAAAGTATTGGAGCCTCAGCTTCACGATCTGTCCTTCCAGGGTTGATTACCTTCAGAATGGCTACATTTGATCTCCTTGCAGTCCAGGGGACTCTCAAGAATCTCAAGCACACAACTTAGGGCACCCAAAACAATGCAATGGAGCCGAGAGGTGATGAGCTTAGTTCCAACTAATTCCTAGACAAAGCGAGGACAACTTTCTCTTCACGGTGACTCTGGGCTTGGTGATAGAAACATGCTGCTTTAAAAAATAATAATACATAATAACCAAGAATAATATCCCAGGCTGTATCTTATAAGATCTGTTTTCCACACTGAGGTCATCTCAAGCAAGATGAAACCTCAGTGTGTTGTGCATTAGCCCTGTGTGAAAATCTCTGGGACAGCCTTAAAAGCCATTAGCTAAATTCTCCTTGGCCTTTCATTGCACTGTTCACAGCACCTTTTCTTAGCAATCAGGAGTAGAGGGAAAGGCTCACTGAGAATAGTGAAGAATGTATATGTACATGTATGTGAAAAAGACTGAATTGGTATCAAAGTCCTCTCTTTGCCGCACGGATTCAGAGAAGAAGGCAAAAAAGCATGACCCATCTACTTTTCCATTACTTTTGCCAAAGCATAGCTGCACACAAACATTTCTGGCATTAAGTGGGCCATTTTGAGCATGCTCACTACCATTCAAACCTGTTGAAAAACAGCCCTAACAATTGCTTTCTGTTTGGGTGAAAAGTGGTGAAGTGAGGGAAAAAGGAGTCTGTTTCTGGGATTTTCCCTTGCTTGGTGTCACTTTGTGAATACTCATGAGCACAAGAGGGTATCCCGTAGACCATCTTGACAGCTGCCATTGGAGTTGCCAACATTCAGGTTGCCCTTTGCCATATAAACCTTGGCATTTTTTTTCTGCTGGCAATGTGGGCACAATATTTTGCAGCAATATTGAGCCATTTATTGACTTTTTTGAATCATGGGAACAGAATCCCGATATCCCACATTCATAAACTTAGGTTCTTTGAAGTATTGAATCATATCAAAGATTGTCTGTTCAAAATGAAATGGTTGTTTTGTCAAGGGAAAATGTTCCACGGTTACTATATTTCTCAAAACCCATAAAAGGATGCTCTTTCATTGGTTAGGTAGTTCCTTCCGCCCACCCCCATTGCCATCTCTTTCACTAAAGTCATTCAGGTTGTAAAGTGTGAAAACAAACCTTTTTATGCAGTGTGAGATGAGGTGAAGAAGGCAGAGAATACTGAGTGTTGCTGAGTGATGTATAGTTAGGATACTTCTACATGGAACTAGGAATTATTACTTGTTTTGACTACAAGTCCCATAATCGCTTAATCACCATTGAGGTCCGAAAGGTAACATTTCCAAACTCTGCTTCCACATGTCCTACAACCCTGAAATTTTGAATACAGGTATCAGCCATGACATTCTCTTGTTGTTTAGTCGTTAAGTCGTGCCCGACTCTTTGTGACCCCATGGACGAGAGCACGCCAGGCCCTCCTGTCTTCCACTGCCTCCCAAAGTTGGGTCAGATTCATGTTGGTTGCTTCTCAGACACTGTCCAACCATCTCGTCCTCTGTCGTCCCCTTCTCCTCTTGCCTTCTCACTTTGCCAACATCAGGGTCTTTTCCAGGGAGTCTTCTTTTCTCATGAGATGGCCAAAGTATTGGAGCCTCAGCTTCAGGATCTGTCCTTCCAGTGAGCACTCAGGGTTGATTTCCTTCAGAACGGATAGGTTTGTTCTCCTTGCAGTCCAGGGGACTCTCAAGAGTCTCCTCCAACACCACAATTCAAAAGTATCAATTCTTCGGCAGTCAGCCTTCTTCTTCCATTTCTATGTCAAAAAGGCAGCTGAAAAGGGAACTAAAATATGACACCTGTCGTTTACAGAGACAGACAAAAAGACCGAGAGGCCATCATTTTATGAGAAGTTGAGGATGGTATTTGTGCATCTCTCCTTTGAAGTATAGGAGTCAATGTTAGCCCACACATATTTGCAAACTGCTTTCAAAACTTAACATGGCACTAAAATGTAGTACAAGGTCAGTAGTCAACCTCATCCTTTAACGATAATAATCATGTGTCATCAAGGCAATATTCAGAAATGGTTTACCATTCGCTTCTTCTGGGGCAATCTGAAGGTTTGGAGCCTGTTCCAGGCCTCACAGGCTGGCTCTTGTGGAACGCAGAGTAGGGGAATTGAACTTCCAAACTCTGGCTCTGCAGCCAGATATCTAGACCAATGAGCTATCCAGCCAGCAACCTTATCCTTTCAAGCAGTGCAAATGCTGCATTTGGAACTAGTTTAAGGGACGTGGTGGCACTGTGGGCTAAACCGCAGAAGCCTGTGCTGCAGGGTCAGAAGACCAGCAGTCATAAGATCGAATCCACATGAAGGAGTGAGTGCCCGTTACTTGTCCTAGCTCCCGCCAACCTAGTGGTTCGAAAGCATGCAAATACGAGTAGATAAATAGGGACCACTTCGGTGAAAAGGTAACAACGTTCCGTGTCTAAGTTGCACTGGCCATGTGGCCATGGAAGATTGTCTTTCGGACAAAACGCTGGCTTTATGGCTTGGAAACGGGGATGAGCACCGGCCCACTAGAGTTGAACACGACTGGACAAAAAAAAAAGTCAAGGGGAACCTTTACCTTTACCTAAGTAGGTAAAGCCCAAGCATCTTTATAAACATAATGAAAGTGAATGGGTGACGTTCAGCCACTCTTCACAAAGAACGGCATTAGAAAATGAGACATGTTTTGGCATTGTCCCCTTATTATTACAATGGGTAACAGAGGAGACATTGGGAATCATTTTTACAATTCACGGCAACCCGCGAAAGATTTATGGTAGGTTATTATAATGTTCTGAAAATGCATAATTACTTTTTTCCCACCTTCTCTGGGTGGCAAACACAAATCAAAATTGTACAGCTCTTACCGGGCATTTTTATTGGTCTGCATTGTGAGACGGGAAACTTCATCTGTTTCCCTCACAAAACACAAGAATAAGAAACAGGCTGGTGTTCCATTAGAACTTGAGAAATTTTCATAAGAAATAAATCAGCTGCCAAAAAAAAAACAAAAAACAAAAAATCCTTCCCCTTCTAAACCAAAGGGCAAGGAAAATGTGTTAATTAATATGAACATACAGTCTCAACAAGAAA